TCATTACACACGAGTCAAACGGGTCACTACCAAATAAGTAACACTACATAAAAACTAATGGTATTACCAAGGTAACCATACAAGGATGCTTATGTTTTGACAAACGTGGATCAATTCACTGCTGATAGGATGCAGTATGTTACTCACCGTTTAAGACATGTTATATCTGAGTGTCATATGTCATCAATTTCGTGACTTTAAAGTATTCTCTGGTCTCACGGTTCTCGAAATACAATAGACATGTCTCTACAATATATACTCCATAATTTCATTGATACAATATGAAGCTTTAAAAGTAGATATAAATTCTTCTCGACAATGAAATGAGTAATTTACTGAATCTGTAAGTGATGATCACAATTTATTGATGAAGGAAAATGATGTGATCACTGACATTCACAGACTGAGCCCATGTCATCCAGTTCTGAAGTCATCATTGCCACCAGTGAACTATCAAATCAAGCTGTTATAGACCTGTAATAAATGCACACTGTATAGCCACTAATCAGTGACTAATACTATGTAATCCATGGTTAAATAATTGCCTAACTATATTGACCAATTCCAAAATGTCATTTTCTAGCTAAAAGAACTGTATTCCAATTGACTTAAGGTGACTACAGGCATGAAGGTTTACTTGCTGACTTTTCGGCAAATAAAACACTTTCCACAACCTCATGAGGGTATAAATCAATGTCCTTTCAACTTACATCAAATAAAGTGAGTCGCTTTGATAAGTATTTCACCTCAATGTTTTAGGCTTCATCGGCAGAATTCAGTAGCTACTGTGCAGCTGCCAACATGATGCTGGTTACTCTGTAGTAATCTGATAGATTGAGAGATAAAACCCCATCCTGAAAACTGAAAAAGACGAAACCTTTATAGAGGGACTTCTTCATAAAACGCCTATCAGATTTCTTCTTAGATTTAAAAAAAATGTAATTATCGTTTAGTTTTCAACCAAAAGCGTTTTATCTTGTTGAATAATCTGTTTTTAGAATAAAATTTCACGGCTGCTGATAAAGTTTAGATATTTTATGCTCAATGAAACAAAATATTTATAAGATGGCTTGATTGTATTTCATTCAGCACTGATCCAAATAAATGTAAATGCATTACCTAATTTTTCTTTAAATTAATTATTGTAAGTTTTGAATCACACTAACTGTCTGCTTCCTGTTTTCTTTTGGTTTCTATCTTAAATAATTTGTATAACTTAATTTTTTTGTCAATTTTATCTCTTTCCTTCTCTGTCTCTATCTTCCTAAGTTCTGTTTCGAAGATTTTTGGCTTGAATCGATTTAATATTTTGCTTCATATCGTTTCTGTATCGTCTTTTAAGTCTGTTGATAGGTGCTTGGCTATTTGAACTGTTAATGTAGTTAACTTGACACTTCAAGACGAATATACTTATAACGAGCTGTATTCAAATTGTTTCATCCTAGTTCGTAAAGCCTATCTCAACTCATTCCTTGACCGTATATTATTCATCTTCATTTAATGTTTATTTTTAATGTTATTGCTTGTTAACCAGCTGATGTTCTAAATAGGACGAAATGCGCATTGTGGATTTCACTATTAGCCACTATTTATTACTAATATCTATTTATGTTAAGATCTTCAGTTTCGATTAACACTATTTAAATATGCAGACCAGTTAATGAAGCTGATTGAAGGTACATTTGAAAATATCACAATTTTACTAACCCATATATTCGTAGTTACTAGAAGAGATCATTATTAAGAAAACTCAAACTCCAGTTTGTTGATAAAAAAAAACTTGTAAAATATCAAGACAAAAGCCGAATCTCTAGAATTCTTACAGTGGTTTGATAAACATTACATTTGAAAAGAGGTGCAAAGTAGAGTGCATGATGCATATTTTATCGTGTTTACCACTCGCCTCTAGGATGACCCTATATCTCTGTGACTGAGGGCACTTTTGATGACAATGCAGAGCTACATCCATTGTTATGAACCTGAGTGTTATCAGCCATTTCTGAAAATACATCGTGGGTGAAGAATGTTAAATAAGATCTGTCCAATAGTAAAATATGATCAAGTGATAAAAGCAGTGACATAGAAATTCATTTCAACTAATGAATGATTTTATGAATAAAAATGTCTGAAACAGCCGTGATTTGGTACAGTGGTATTGTTGATAAGCGATGATGATTGAGGTGAGCTTGAGGTGAAAACCTGAATATTGACACAATTTCAACCAGTGGTCTCCTGGTTACTTGTGTGATGTCCTACCATCTTAGGTAAGGCGCCCATCTCCTGGACACCTAGAAGAGCACCGTATCCTGATGCAACCCAGGTTTTGATTTCACCTTTAGTCATTACCCCGTATCAAAAACAAATAAGCAGTTACTGGTCACAACAATTTGAAGAAAGTCAACTTCATTGGTAAATCATTGAGGGTTAGTTAAACTGTCTGTTACACCTAGTACTGGAAGAATTTTGTAGCTTAGAACGAGCAGGATCATACTTGAAAATTATAAAAAAACCTTTATGATCCTTACTAAAGAGCATAAAATTTAATAGTTTTTATCCTCAGGCAACATATTTATGTTTACCACGAAAGCATTTAGAAATGTCGTACGTTTGACTTCCATAAAGAATAGTTATTAACTGTATATTAGCAATCTTTTCTGCAGAGCGAATTGGAATTTAGGAGAACAGTACCATAGAATGACCGTATACTTACGTCTCCGGGTATAGTAAACAAAGGTACATTCCTCAGCACCTCGATAATTTACACTGATTGCTGCAAAATGTTTTGTTGTGAATGCTCGGGATGTTTCAGGTCACATCGCCTAAGTTTTACACTTATATTATAGCTTCAGGCCACTTAATATACTTCAGTAACAGGAGAGAAGAATTCTTTGAATTCATAAATTTCTGGTTTTTTTACATAATTGACACTTCTGTTGCTAAGGCTTTGCCTCCTTATATTTCAATTAGCAATATAATCAATTTAACATTATTACCAGAAATGTTTCACACAGACCAACTCTGAACTTTGAAATAACATGTGAGCGTAAAGGGTGCTATGAAGGAAGTTGTATGCAGCAGTGATTACTATCACATGATGCTTCCAGTCAAACCATGAGATAACACCATTTTACTGTCTTAGTTATAACTTTATGATCAGACTAACACACTCGCTTAACCACTTCTTAACAAACTAACGCAATATATGTTCTTGAGAGAAAAACTGTGCCATGAAGCAGTAACGGGAAATATCCTTTCTCATTTAAGCAGTTGGTAGATTCAATTATTTCTTTCGGTATAGATTATCACTACTAGTAATATGCAAGAAGACTGACATAATTTGAATGTTTGAAAAAAGATGATTCAGGCACTCACCTATAGTAGTTATCACTGTGGTTGAGAAGTAAAATGCTCCAGCAAATTTCCACTGAGTACCAGCCTTATATGGCTTCATTTGTATTCCCAGTTGCGTAATCCTTTCAAAATCATCAATTGTTATGTTGTATTTGCTTCGTAAACTCTCAGCACTCTCTCGTAGACGGACATCTTCAGTTACTTCGAATTCTGATTCCAGAGCATCAAAAATAGCAGCTCCAAACAGTAAGTACGTAAATGTCACTACAATCAACGAAAGGGTACGAACATTTTGCCGTTTCATATTTATTCATATTTCATACATCATAATCAATCCAAGGTATCACAACTTTTAAGAAAACTAGTTCACTAGGTGAACTTCCTTTTCATCGAAAATGGTTTTGTTTATACATTTTTGTCCATTCTGATAATATGATTTGTGAAAAAAATCGATTGTTCCCGCTTCCTTTTTTTGGAAATATAAAATTTAGGCATTAACCTTGATAGCTGTGTTATGATTGGTCCGTTAGGATCTTTTAAAACTGACAGGTACAGTAATGACAGGAGGATTAATTGTGGACTGACATCGTCTGATTTCTGACTTAAAGCCAATACCAGTGTGTCACTTTCAATGATTACAATGCAAATTATCACCGACGTATGAAAGTTTATTTGTAAGGAATTCTCGTAGAAACCTTTTCACATAATCTGCCATGTTAAAAGATAATCAATAAGTATAGAGTTGTGTATGGATTCTATAATGGCAAAAACCGAAAAATTGAGCGAACAAAACGCTCTATTATATCTGTGGAAAGCACATGGCTTGTTTTTCTCATAAGACAAAGGTTTCTAGCCTATTGATGGTTCTTGTCTTTGAAAATATACCTGAGAAATTTATCTTTCCATATTTAAATTTTTATTAACCGGTTAATTACTGTGAACCAAGAAGTACTGCATAAGTTTCTTGTACTGGTGCAAGGAATGTCATCAGGATGCACTCTCCACCAAAAAATAGAATCTAAAGTATGAAATTTCACTTGACATGTTTGACTAAATTTCTTTTGTTAATGTTGATAATTCTTCACTAGACTGACATTTATCTACGGAACTTCTGAAAAATTATGCTTTGCTTCATACTTTTTATATACTATTTGGATGCTGGTTAGCAGTCATATAAAGATTGATAAGAGCTAACCCTTGTCAGTGAATTTCAAATGTCTACGAGACAAGTTATCACTGATCATTACGGAAGTTTTCAGTTTCAATCAGTAAACCTTGTAGGTCTCAAATTAATAGATTTCTGTAACATTCAACTGCTTTTCATACAACTGCATTAATGTACACTTAAAAGTAATACTAAACTCCGCCTACTCTTTCAAAATTTCATGCTCTATTTTAAAACCGAACAGCTTAACGGTTTATCTCTGCTTCTGAAAGTCTTACCAGTAATCTTTGTCGACAACTAACCGTACTGTAACTGAGCCTATGATGTATGTGAGCTTGCAGTTGATTGATTAAGACTCAAAAGATTATATGGCAAAAATCGACAAAAGTCGGTTTTAGATCTGTTTTCATTAGGACGTGATATCAGATAAGCAACTAATAATACTTATTCTGTACCAAAATAGCTGTTTCTTACCGCTTTTGAACTTATCAGTGGTCTGCATCACTGGTTTCTTCAAAGATGTAATGTAAATCTGAATGAGAACAACTAAACCCAGTACTATTCTTTCAATGTCATGTGTTCTAGTGTCATTTTAGAGCAATTGATTATTTGTGAAAGTAACAGCCATAACCAAAACCTCAAAAATTCATCCTTAGATGTTCAGAGAATAGTTTTCTCGTCACGTGTTAATTAACCATCAATGTAAGATAATATTTTCACCCTAACTTCTCAGATAGCATGCGAGAGGATCTAAAGTTTCAGACACTTGAAGCGTACAGGTTGAAATATCTCTGTAGCACATCTAAGATCTTAAATGTTATTCTTTCACTGGAAAATGATATTAAACATATCAAATATTCATGATCTATCAGTGGAAAATTTAAAATGCTAAATTAATATTCCAACAAAAAAGTTGACGTAGGAACGAAAAGAAGCTCGGATAAACAAAAGTAAGTGACATATAAAAAAGCATTGGCATGGTACATGAAACATCATGAAAAACAGTGATAGCTAGGATATGAAAAATATCTAAAAAAATGAAGTCACAAGTCAAACAAAATTAAAATTTATATATAGTCCAAAGGTAGTTAGTAAATAAAAGCCTATAAAAGCTAAACATATATTTGTACCGTCCGGTATCAAGGTTTTTCTGTTAATTTCTGCTACCAGTTTGTGCTCATAGGGATATGGTTGTCATACTATCAGCTTTAAAATTTGTAGTTAGCCATCTCTATTGAATTGTGTATTTCCAATAGCCTAATCCCTAAATCAATGGTTCAATCCAACCGTTACACTGAATAAATGAAAGCATTGGTTCTACGGAAAACTGATATAACATAAATGTGATTGAAGGGTTTAGATATGGCAACATATTCTACAGACAAATGGTACCAATGTTTTGAGAATTCAGAATCCATCATTCCATGCTTCTAAAGATACGAGTGGCTCAGCTGCAAACAATGTAACAGAAGTTATTTAAAACAAAATGTTTCTCTAAGTTATGTTTTTACTTGATTAACTTATATTTGGCAGTTTAGTCTCAGTGTTTAAGTACCCATTCAACCGTGCTAAAGAGGATGCTTAGTAAATGAGTGTGAAAAATTCAGAAAGTACACCTACTGAAAGGAAATCGATCCCAATCACAAGATATGGGCGTCACAGATCACAACATTAACTTGACTGTGAATACTTGTCAACGTCCCAGTAGATATAATAAGTTCCGGTGTTTGTCTGAGATTCAAAACAATTTACAAACTATTGTATGAATGCATTTGACCGACGATATTCCAAAACCATCGAATAAAGTAGGAATCTAGAATGTCTAAGTTTGCAGAATATATATCACAGCACTACCTAGTACCAATAAAAGAAAAAGACAGTTGCTGATGGTAAAGTAATACCAAAACACTGATATCCCCACAAATTATATGGTCTGAGCAGTTACACTTTCAATCAACAATTCATCTGAAATTCAGTGATATTGCGTATAAACTTCCACATAACACTATGATTTTATAAATTCGTCTGTTCGTTTGCTGATATTTATCTGTAATCAACCATACTATGAAGCCAAGTTAATGGTTTTACTTCATCACAATTTAACTGATTTAACAAATTTAGTATTAATAGTTCATGATTATTATTATTATTAGTCCCTTGGGTTCCTAGTGGAACATAGGGCTTCAGTAGCACGTCTCCAGTGACCTCTGTTCTCTGAGATCTTTTCAACCTGGTTCCACGACAGCCCAGAAGCTCGCATTTCCTCCTCGCACGATCTCCTCCATGTCACCCTCGGAAGTCCAACTCGTCGCTTCCCATGGGGATTCCACTCGAGCAACTGGCCTGACGCGTGATGTCCCTAGTCGGTCTTCTCAGTGCATGCCCAATCCATCTCCACTTCCTCCCACTGCATATTTGTTGAGCGATGGGTTCTTGGTTGGTTTGTTCCCAGAGCTCCTTGTTGCTTATTCTTATTGTTCTGGCCATCTGATCTTCAGTAGCGAGCCAGCGTAAGAAGTTGTTGATGAATGTCTGTAGTTTATTGGAAATCCCTTTCGTGACGCACCAAGTCTCTGAGCCATACAGAAGCACTGATTTGACGTTGGTGTTGAAAATCCGGATCTTGTTCCACATGCTGAGTTCATTAATCAAACACTTCTTATGGATTCAGCCCTCTTGTTAAGTTCTACACATGATAGGAGTCAATGTGTTTGCAAAATGAGATACGCTTATTATATGTCATCTGTTTACAAATTAAATAAGACGGTCAGTTGTTACAATTATACTTGTGAAGTGGAAATGACTACAACAGAGCAGTAGTACTGTTTGAAAAACAATATGAAAGACAATATATTGCTGTTCCATGTGACCGAAAGTGATTTTGCACTTCTATTCTTGCTTTCAATTATTTTCCTTACGAATTAATCGGACAATTTAACTGCTTGTTTCATTCGGTGTTGCACTCTGCTTATTTGTATCAGTATATTAAATAGTTGGATGCAAATCGGACTGCACCACTGTGTGATATGTATTAAAAATTGTTATGACTATAATTTTGAAGATTTGTAATCGATTTTTCCTTTATATTTCACTGTAACCAACTATTTTTAAGAATTCCTATGCAAAATGAATATCCAGTCTCTATTTTCGAAAAAACTGTTCTTAAATCCTAATGGATTGCTTGTTCAAACTCCTCACGTTTGTTGGTTTATAAAATAATGCACTAGGATATAAGAAACGATTAGTTAAGTCATAAAACGAAGAAATCATCATGATTGTCAAATTAATACGGAACGCAGTAAGGACTTGATGTGACTTAATAGATCGTAATCATAGTTAAGGATACATTTTGGTTTACTGCTAAATTAACCGTGGATACATACACTGGTATGAAGTCAATTGACTTCCAGTGCATATATAAAATGTCTCAAGCTATTCTCAGAGACAAAATCAACAATATGTGAGTAAAGAGATAGGGAAGTAGAAGATTAAACACACGAGAATTCGAGGAAATGTAACTTACTGTAATACCATTTTATAGAAAAAGAGAAGTGGTTCCAGAGAAGAAACATTTTGTTTTCTGACGAAATCATTCTCTTAGCTGTACATTCAAAAACTTACAGTAGAAAGATTAAAACATTCAAGAGTAATTTCCGGTCAAAGGTCAAAACAAACTCCATGACAAAATAAAGTTGCTTTGTATGTTGGTATTTAAAATAGAGGAATAAACAAGTGATTAGAAAACAGAATACTATTACATTATAAGGAAATTATGAAGAGTGATTAATCCTTTACGATGCCAATAGCAAAAAAAGAGGTTGTACATACTCCTTCTGAACGCACAACGATGGTTCGAACTTTAAGATTTCCTATGCTTCAGCCATGTCAAGTTACTTTAACCTTACTCCATTCACTTGGCTTGGTGGCACTTTATACAAAATTCTGAAGGACTTATCTAAAGCATCCAAATGTTCTGAGTTTACTAAGTCTTGTTTTGCAGAGTTGAAGATGCACCACCATTATCCCCTTGTCAATCAAATTGGATAGAGCTCATGAACACGTTTTACGCGAAGACACATGGTGAGGAGAATTTATTCGGTTTCATAGGAGTAAGTAAACTGATACACACACACTGACGTGGCAAAATTCCTCGGGAATGAATACCTTTCTTCACTGAAGTTCCATTTTATTCGATTCATTATGTATGTCATATTGAAGCGTATTCCAGTGTAGTTTAATACCTCATTATGTTTGCAATCTATTAAATGAGTTCTAATGGTATTAGGTTCTATGTT